ATAAAATATGATCCAGTTATTGAGTATTTGACGAAAAGTCTTGGGAGAAACATCAAAAATGCCAAAGATCAGAATGTAAGTAAATTGAATTAATCGATTTCATACATCGAAGAAGATTTATAAAGAATATTTTCCTTTGATAAAAGATTAATTAATTTTCAAACTAAAAGTAGTACGGCTTGAAAGTCATTGCTTTTAGATAGGTTTAAAATTCTCATTCCGTGGAATTTTATAATATATTTATTTAAAAAGTGAGAAAAAACAGATTCAAGATGCGAGACCAGTTCTCTCTCTTATCACTGCTTACTTGAAGACTGACGGATTCCATAAAACACGGAAAAACAGATTCATGATGCTAGATCAGTTCATATCACTGTTTACTTGAAGGCACCATAACGGATTTCTATAAAACACTTTTTTTCCCATCATGTTGAATTCTACGATTTATTGATTTGCATTTGGTATCAAAAATGGATTTTTTATCTATTATTGATCGAAATTTAAGGTCAAAAAGGTTAAAGATCAAAATGTAAGTAAATTGAACTATCGACTTCACACACCAAAGAAGATTTGTAAGGAACATTTTCTTTCGATAAAAGATTAATTAATTTTCACATAACACATTCCATAAAACATTTTCTTTTTCCAATCGGATTAAATTCTACGATTTATTGATTTGCATTTGGTATCAAAAATGGATTTTTCGCTTATTATTGATCAAAACTTTTTTACCGTAATTTTTCTTCTCATATTTTAATCCATTGCTCCTTTCCAAAATCCAATTTAATTTTATTATAAATTTCAATATCATGTGATCGATAAATTCCTTTTACACCGGAAAGTTAATGAATATACCTATTCTTAATTAGTCATACAATGATCGTTAACGTACTTGCAATGCTTTTTCGCCAGAAGCGGAAATGTCATTTGCGATACCTACCTCTTATAGATCACAGTTTTGGAACGACAACACCAATAGCATTTATTTTGCATAATACAAACATTTGATATACCAACATTAAGTTATTCGCATTAAAAGTGGCACAACTTCAAGTAGGCACATTTAGCTCTCTGTCATACTGTAGTTGCATGAAATGTATTGATCCCAGAAACAAGTTTATTTTTACTCTTCATATAGGTGACGCAGAAATGACGTATCGAAAGAGGACACCATTGAACTACCATGTACTCTTTTGACGGATTGTATGATAAGTTCTCTTTCAATTTTGTACCATTCAAAGTTTTCATTTTCATGATCGTTTTTATATTTACAGTTAAAACAAACTGATCAATCGATCAGTACAACAATCTCACTGACCAGTGACAGGAATCATCGGAGGTGGGGACAGAGGACAATTTCAATTGCTTTTGCATGATTACTGCTTATTCCTGTATTGATCGATTACTCTTCGTTTAGTCAAAACACCGTAGTTTCTGTTTCATCACAAGTCACTGACTTCATTTACACATTTGTTATTTCAGTTAAGTTTTATGATATTGTAAGTTTAATTTGAATTGTTGTTATGCATAGCAAATTCGTATTTCATTTGTGTTCAGATGAAGCATTGACCAGAGAGATATAATCTTTTCATATCCAGGACATCAAACTTTCCCAAAATGTCAACTCGCTTTTAAAATTGAAACCATTTCCAGTTTGCGTATTCATGATGTGACATGAACCGCGACATGTCGCAACAATCCTACGATATATACTTTCTATGGAATATGAAAGATTGGATATTATTATTTCTATTCGGGATAGTACCAAACGAGTGTAAACATGTCCAAAGTGTAAGGACATTCACTTCTCCTTAATAGCTGTCAATTTGATCTCAGGGTAATCAGTTTGAAGTTTTCAGGAATTTGAGAAGATGAATGCACCTATGCAGAATAATGTCTCCGGTGAGCAACTGATTATCTTAGCTCTACCGTGAGAGATTATTCTGAACAGATACAGGATTTCCATTAGGATATCTTGGATAAACACCACCCGAGTAGCCCGCTGCATCGGATCTGTGATTTGAGCAACACAATCAAACAACATATCACAGCCAATACAACTGCTACCACAGACGTTTTCAGGATTTAGGAGTAATGATGTAGTTGGACGAAAGAGTTTGTGATTTGTGAACTGAATGATTTCGATGGTAAGATAGGCTTCTTTTATAGGAAGATTTAAGGGCGTTGCCTAAAAATTGGCGCCATATTGCGCAATCCCTCCAAAATATTCCATTGGATCAGATCTATCAATAAATGCAACAAAAGGCGGAG